GCAAGGTTTTGTTTTTTTTTTTTTTTTTTTTAAGAAAACAAGCAGCAAATGAAAAGAGTGCAAGTCTAAAAGGGACAAGTGTATTTTTTTTAAAGAATATAATTAGAATAGAGAGTGCTAGAGTTAGAGGGACAAATAAAGATGGAAGATATGTGTTTTTAGACGATTCTTGAAGATGGCTAAGGACTCAGCTGCTCGGATTGAGTTGGGCAGGTCATTCCACTAGGAGGGAACATTTAAAAGTCCGTAAAAGGGATTTTGTGCTTCTTTTGGATGGCACAATAAAGCAACGTTCACTTGCAGAACGCAAGCTTCTAGACGCACATAAGTTTGAAGTAATTAATTTAGGTAAACGGGTGCAGAGCCAGTGGTGGTTTTGTAGGCAAACATCATAACCTTGAATTTTATGCGAGCAGCTATTGGTAGCCAGTGCAAATTGATAAACAGAGGTGTGACGTGCATTCTTTTTGGCTCATTAAAAATGAATCTTGCTGCCGCGTTTTGTATTAATTGTAAAGGTTTGATAGAACTGGCTGGAAGACCTGCCAAGAGAGCATTGCAATAGTCCAGCCTGGACAGAACAAGTGCTTGAACAAGGAGTTGTGAAGCATGTTCCAAAAGAAAGGGCCTGATCTTCTTGATGTTAAATAAAGCAAATCTGCACAGTTTTAGCAATGTGGTCTGAGAAATTCAGCTTATCATCAATCACAACTCCAAGGTTTCTGGCTGTTTTTGAAGGAGTTATGGTTGATGTGCCTAACTGGATGGTATATGATGATATAATGATGATAGCCGATTATATCATCATAAAATTACTGAAGGAGTAGATCACCCAAAAATGAAAAACATATTCAATGTCTTCTGAAGCCATACGATAACTTGTGTGAACAACAGTCTGAAATTTAGGTTGTTATAAACTGAAGATTTTAGCATTCTCTGTATCTCTTAAATCTCATTTGGACTTGCATTACTTATTTTATTTATGGTCATTTGGGGTGTATATGGGACAGTGCAGTGGAGAGGACCAGAAAACAAGATGGATAATGCAAGTGGAAACTGGTAGCATGTGGTATAAACATGATGTAAATAAGAGATTCATTGTGCAGTATAGACAACATTGCTTTTTAAAGGTTGTTTTGGCAAGAGTGCAGTGCTAAGTGAACTCACACTGACATGACTGACAGCTTCAATGATTATAAAGGGAGCATTCTGTTTATAACTCTTTGATAATTAATGTAAAAGTTGTATTTCTCATACTAGCTACACAAAGATTTTTTTGTATTTAAATGCGAGACTGAATCTGAAAATGTGATGATTGACAGCACTAACCAATAGCAATGGGCAGGACAAACAATTCTGATACTGTGTCTGATATTATATGTCTGTGCAAGTCTTGGAGTGTAAATGCAAACTAATAGGATGTGTTTTTTACTTGTTCTTCATAAAACTTGCTTGAATGTTGCAGCAAGCACAACTTTTTGTAGGAAGACAAATGATTTTCTTGTATATATTTCATATTTTTTATATTTTTATTTTGGTACCTTTAAGTACCTATGACTTTTTAAATATTCATTTAGCAAAAAGCAGCAACCTATCGTTATGTCCAGATTATTATTATTTTAACTAGTGCTGAAAAAAAAAAAAAAAAAAAATGGTCCCACTTTATATTAGGTGTCTTTTAATACTATGTAGTTAATAATAAAGCAATGAATTGTTAGGTAAGTGTACCTATTTTGTTCATGTTAAATTTCAAAACACTTTTGCTGCTATTGAGGTGGGATACGGGTAAGGTTAGGGACATGTTTGGTGGTATGGTTAGGTTTAAGGGGTAGAAGTAAGCTCAACAGTGTAATTATAGATGTAAGTACAGAAATTAATTATAGATGTAATTACAAGATGGTATTTTCAAATTTAAGTACAATGTAAAAACATGTATTTACACAATAAGTGCATTGTATCAAATTTTAAATTTAAATGTAAGTACATTGTGGTTAAAGACATGTAATATAAATTTGGTCCAAAATTTTTTTTTTGAGAGCAAATGCAAAAATATAGATATATGTTGAATATTGTCCAAATTTCGAAAAATACGGAGCTATACATTTGTGGCCTTAATGAAGCAGAATAATGAAGGCAGGTTGTCCCCAAACTCGTAAGACAAATCATTCAAGTGCTGGTTGTGTGTTATGTAATATAAGATTACCTTTAAGGTAGTAGGGCTTCTTTAGACCATGGTGGTGCAGGCGCACTTTCCGCTCCTCTGCATAGCTGTGCCGCAAACCATGCTCATGCAAATGCAGTCTGTCTCTCCTGACTGCTTCCGAAGCCATTTTTTCCCGCAAAGCTTTGGTCCTCTCCGTTTCCAGTGCTATGGCCTTCTCCAGCAGTGACAGGTTGCCTTTGGTCATGTCGAAAACATCCTCTGAGCGGTCCGACGTGACGGAGGTGGTGTCTTCATCACAGTCCTGGAAGCCCTTGTGCTCTGCGGCGCAGCTGGAGAAAGTCTTGGAGCGTGGGCTGAGCTGCTCCTCAAGCTTCATCAGGTTGACCATGTCAGAGTAATTCCGCTCGAGGACATCAGGACTCTGATGCTGATGTTGGGCTTCTTGATAAAGCTGATGAGCCTCCTGGTAGGGATGCATATAATTAACTGATAAACCGTTAACCGACAGTAAGATTTTTGAACGATTACTACTACTCTATCTGTTAAACAGTTAAAAGGTAACTATAGGCCACTTAAACACTGCAGCTAAATTTGGTTGTACATTCAATTTTTAGTGCTGTAATCATGTTCTGAACATAAGTGGCAATAGAATTCTACAACCGAATTAGTGGTGCATTCCATTTGAACTCGAAAGTCAGAAACTCAGAGTTCCCAGTGGAAACTTGAACACCTTCTCAAGTCAGAAACTCAGAGGAACTGCAAAAACCCTGACCTCAGAATCCAATATGACGGCTCAGCACATCAACATGAGTGAAACACAAGTAATATATTGTTTATTAGCACTTCTGTTTGTCTCAATAAACCCAACATAGTACTATCCAACCATTATTTGTGATAACATGATATTTCAATACGTCTGTGCAAAATACTGCTTTTTATGTGTTCGCAAAACGACTGGTATTGCTATCAATTGGACTCGTCCATCTTGTGTACTTGTGTATAGGAATGCAGTCAGCTCTTGTGTGATGTCATTCCTAACTCCGATTTACGAATTCCGAGGTAAATGGAAAGCAGTATAACTCCTGAAAATGAAGGTAGTGGCATCCGCACTTACAAAAATTCCACACAATTTGTACAGATCCAAACTGACTAACTAGTAAATACTAGATGTATTTAAACACGCATCAGAGATGTGTGTCTGTTCTGTATGCGCATAGCAAAAAAAAATAACGGAGAAAGAGGTATGAGCCTTGACTCATTAGTGTTGCCAGATCTTCTTACAAAATAAGAACAAACCCATAATAAACCTAAATAAATTTACATGCTTTATATTGGAAATAAGAGCAGAAAAGTGCAATCCACACCTGCCCAGTTTAATAAATCCATAGACTAGATCGCTTTATAAGCCATGCCCAAAGACACTTATAATAAGTGTACATGGCAACACTGAATGAAAGTACTCTGCGGTTTAATCGCAATTTTAGTCATCGCAATTTTGAGAGTGAGCTCTGTTCTGTACACATAAGAAATTATAATTTAGGGTACTCACTCCTGTATTTAAATGTGGCTGTCACTCCTGAAACTTTACAGTGTGTATATGGCCTTTATTTAAATTTAAACAGGACTGCAATTTACACACTGCAATTTACAGGACTGACAACCACATTCACTATTTAAGAAGTACAATCTTTACTCATTTGCACATTTTGACACAGGTCTGTCTCTTTCCATAGTTGTGCGTGCTCACTAGCCCACAGGGCCTAAAGAGATTGTGTTGCCAGATGTTGCAAGGAAAAACACAAACAAAAACAAACCTAAAATAAACCCTAAAAATTTGAAATGCATGAAATAAAATGAAAATATCACAAGCTGCAACTGCCCACATTAAAAACTCCATACAGTGGCTCACTTTAAGAGAAGAGTACGAAAAGCAAGCCCAAAGACACTTATAGTAAGTGGACATGGCAACACTACAAGAGTGAACATAAACAAAACACAACACACTCTGTCAATGGTGGTTTCGTTAACATTGTTGGATGTAACAATTCTTTGGTTGCTAATATTACTCTGGTAAAAAGCAGATACTAAACAGCTATCAGACGCCTAAACATTTCTCTGGTTACCAGTGTGACAATCATCACAGTTTCGCAGTCATGGAATGATAATTTAGGGCAGGGGTGTCCAAACTCGGTCCTGGAGGGCAGGTGTCCTGAAGAGTTTAGCTCCAACCCCAATTAAACACACCTGAACCAGCTAATCAAGCTCTTACTAGGCATGCTAGAAACTTAAAGGCAGGTGTGTTGAGGCAAGTTGGAGCTAAACTCTGCAGGACACCGGCCCTCCAGGACTGAGTTCGGGCAGCCCTGATTTAGGGGATTCACTCCAAGGCATTATTCGAATGCACATAGCACACTTGGAATCAGATAATTCAGTGTAGGGTTGGGCCGATAGACGATGCCATCATCCATCGCCGATGGCTGATAGACATCACGATTTTGAGCCGGCATCGTGACCCCAATCCCCACCCCACCTCACCCCCCGCATCCCAATACCATGTTCGGAAAGAAAATGACGTGTAGGCGGAACCCCTAAAGTGAATTAATACGAGATGGGAGGAAAATATATATTTCAATATTTTTCCTCGCAGTTATATTATTTATAATAATTGGGTAATTATACTACATATATATTTCGGCATCAGGGAGGCGCTATTATACCTGGCATTGAAACTGGCATCATGCTTTTGAATGCATGATCGCTTTTAGTTTCACTTTCATTTACGAGATTGGCGATCGCACATACTCTGTTTATACTATGGAGCGGCATGTACTTACCAGACATTTTACAAGATTATATGTTTCAGTGGTACTGAGGATCTGCAAATCATTCGCCATCGTCCTCAGTCATCTCTCCTTACTCTGTTTATGTGGTAAGTGAAATTTTATGTACTATAATGTAACAGGCAACCATTACACCATGTCTACACCGGACGCAACAGTTGTCGTGTCGCGCTGCGCCGCATCAGCTAAAGTCTGTCTACACTGGACACGAAAAAGTGAACGTTGAAAATCATTTGAAATTTGTGTCAGCACGTCATAAACAGAACGGGGCAGCAGTTTAGTGTCGGGGATTTGTCGTGTCACGCCGCGCCGCGCCGCATCCAGTGTAGACAGCATCACTGATTATAATGAGTTCTATAGACTGATCTATATATAATAAATCTCTATTATAGATCAGTGGTTCTATAGTATTTTGTCGCGCCGCGCCACTCGCGTCCGGTGTAGACACGGTGTTAGGAATCTTGTTTTCCCTTATAAGGATTCACGCTTCGGTGCTTCAGCACTGCAGTTGCGTGATGACGTGACCATGTGTGCATCCTCATTTTCTGTTAATGATACTATTTGCACATGTAAAAATAAACTCTTTAATATGAAGAAAAAAAAAACATTTAATGGTATTTATAATGGGTCACAGAAAATCGTTCATTCTCTAATTTAATTCTGATTTAACGTTCTTGTCAGTTAATTGGCAGTTCCCAACTAACAAAAAATGCTCTGAGAATGTTTTGATGACGTTTGCATTTAGTTCTCTGAACATTTTTGTTGTTGTTGTTGTAAATGTTTAAAAATCTTTTTTTTTTCTTTTTTATTCAAACTTTAACAAAAACATTAAGGGAACGTTTCATTTTAACATTTTGCAAACATTATGGGAACATTACTTTTGAATGTTCTCTGAGCATGGTAAAGTAGTTGGTAGTTAGAACATCTAAATAAAAACGTTTCAGAAAAAAAAAGTCGCTTGAATGATACATAAAGAACATTGTTGGAACTTTATGAAAGACCAGATAACTTTGACTGAACGTTCTATTAATGTTATTGACAGAACATATGTTCTTAACTTTTTGAGAACCTTGCCATAACATTCACCAAAGCTCTGAGAACATTCCTTTTTAGCTGGGTTAACGTGCATTGGCTATCGGTAAAGAAAAAAACTCAAAACAAATCCCTACCTGCTGGTTATTGTGGAACCGCTCGGTTGGCTTGGTCTCACTTAGCTTGCGCGCCAAGTCAAAGCACTGGTTGCGAAGACACTCCAAACTACTCAGACAAACTTCCTCGTCGCTCTTCTCTGCCATCTGGCCATTACTGGAGGGTTTACCACAGTTACCACTGAATCCATTACCTGTGGATCCATTTCCGTTGATGTTTCCACAGTCCGTGTTCTCGCTCCCATCGTCCTGAAAAGGCTTTTCGTGGAGGTTTTCTGAGAGCGTGACTCCATGACCCTGTGCCAGGAGTTTTAGAGAGTCCACAGTCTCCCTTACCACATCACTGTTGATGTCTAGACTCAGCTCACCTTTCCTTGAGCCCTCCTCATCCTCATCTTCTTCATCATCTTCATCTTCTTCTTCCTCCTCCTCTTCCTCTTCTGCGCTGTTTGAGGAGTTGCTGTTCATCTCGGATTCAGTCATGGCCCGGTAAGCGGCGTCCTCTGCAATCTTGCCCAGGTTAAGCAGAGATTTGGCCACCAGTTCATCGTAGTTGTCATATTCATCGTTGTTGTTGTTGTCCTTCTCCATGGAGAGGCTTGTTCTGCTGGGACTGCAATTCATATAGTCACTCTCTGTGAACGACAAACAAATTTTGCAGCTAAATTGATACATCTTGGTTCAATTGCGTTGTCCAAAACAAAGTTTCATTCCACACCCAACCACTTATTTGACTCTGAACCACCTTTGCATCATGGCCATAACCACTTCAAAGCTCCAATATACTCATTTTCCATTGTTTCTACTATAAAGCGGGTGTCCAGTGAGTTCATGTGTTTATGAACATCTGACCTCAACAAACTGAACAGAGGAAATGAATCAGAGAAGATCTCCACGTCAAAGAGGGCGGAGCCCCAGAGCCACACCTACCTTTTGCACCATAACAACAGACCAATGGGGTTCAAAGGTGTTTACCAGCCAGGAGCAAACTTTTCCAAACATTTTGCTTTGGCAAGATGCTTTAAACTCCTAAAGCGAGCTCCAAACAAACTTCATTTTGGCCTGATTTTATTCAAAATAACATCACACCTGTTCACACCACACATTCTTTGATTTCGTTTAAAGTATATCTTTAGACATTAGACATTATTTCTCTAAATAATTAGAAATGGCCAATTGGCCCTCACAATATTTTATATTCTTGATGCTGCTCTGTTTGTTGTTAGGATGGCAAAAAGTTCGATTTTTTTGGTTGTTCACTTGTCAATGTCAAACTATTTGAGATGGCCAATCAAATCAAGGTGGGTTTACTGTTCATAGAAGTCAGCGCAATGCTTCAGTTTTAACAGTAAAAGAGTATGAGTAGTACGACAAAAGTAGCTAAACAATTATTATTTGACAACTGTTTAACTATAGAAATGTTAAACTGTAATATAGGGATGCAAACTATTTTGACATTTTTTTGTCAAATTTGTCAAATATAGGCTAAATCATTTACTCAATGAATATAATTTATGACGGAATGTGACAAGACAACAAACATTTTGCCATTTTATGTTTTTGACATATTAGACATTCAAATAAGAGTGTGTGCAGTTACTATATGCAAATAGTTCAAACCGATTATTTTACAAAAAATAAAAATCTCATTCTTGTTCTTTTACTGCACTTCTTTTTCTGTATTCCCTTAAATCCATTTAAATCCATTATTTTATTACTGTAGTGAGGTAAATTTGTTCACTTCCTTTCTTTCTAAAGTTTTTGCAGATTCAGTTTTATTCTCAAAATTTAACATTGAGCAAACAGTGTGGTACTTGAGTCCTTCTGCCACGGATGCACAGCAAGATTTGAGAAAAGGCACTCTAATTGGATCTGATTGCTGTGATGCAATTTCTAAACCAAGTCCCCATGATCATAACCATAACCTAGATGCCATTTTCAAGTGTACTTGGTGGTTCCTGGATTCAAATCCGAGATTGTAAAAACAGCTTTAATGCTAACAAAACAAACATTTAATGGACTTGTTTTGCAGCAAAAGATCTTGGATGCTCTGAAGTATAGACTGTCCATGCAGTGACAGGACTTGAGCAAGAACCACACAGAAAGAAGTCTCAAATAATCAACACTTCGCAAAGACCCGCCCCCCTTAGTTACTGTTGCTATGTCCGACAAGTCATGCCACTCTCACACCACACATCATTTTCTCACGCAGTGAAAAATTGCGGAGCAAAGAGGACACTGACAACACGCCGACAGACAAGACAGATCAGGTTACTTCTGGTAAGAAACAAAGTCTCAGGTTTCAAATTTTGTAATTTTTTAGGAAATTCAAACAATAAATACCATTTTGTGGCTATTGAATGTGTCATGACAGATCACTGTAGCGTCTCAGTTCAAGCGGCACGTGAACCAATCATTTCTTTCTCTTTTTCTAATTATAGCACAAAATAAACATGGATGAACATCATAAAGGAATCTTTCAACAGCGGAAAGACGTCAATACACACCATTTTTCAAGTTAAAGGGGTCATATGACGCGATTTCAATTTTTCCTTTCTCTTTGGAGTGTTACAAGCTCTTGGTGCATAAATAAGATCTGTAAAGTTGCAAAGACTAAAGTCTCAAATCCAAAGAGATATTCCTTATAAAAGTTAAGAGTCAACCACGCCGACGAAGCGGAGTCCAGCCCGGGGTCGTCACATGTGGTTGCCGCAAGCCCGCCGGCGTGCCGTTCAAAAGCCCGCCGGCCTCTGCTCACTCAAGCCCGCCTACCAAATACACAAAATAATGTTCTTATTAGCAACATCATATGACCCCTTTAAAGTCCACCAACGTAAATCTACTCTCCTATCTGGTTTATTTGTCGGACAAAATGGCAGATTCTGCGTTGAGATTGGCCAGATCGCCTGTCAATCAAACTCCCGGTGAAGGGTCAATTTCACAAAAACTGGCAATGGGTTCAGTGAACATACACCAAAAATATGTGCCGCTTTCACATCTCTTGTGAAAATTGCCCCAGAGGACTTCAGTATAAAACCTTTGAAAGTTGGCTAGAAGATCAGGAGTTCCTTTTAAATCAAGAAAACTAAAACTGTATGAACACTCAGAAGAACAAGGGGTCGATAATAAAGAAAGAGCTGCATAGAACTTAAAATAGAGACATGTTAGCTAAAAAAATATATATATATTAAATATTTTGTTGACAGAGCAAAAACTTATGAATATCAGCCTGGCTGTGATTATCTGTGCCATTATGTCCAATCACAACCATGCTGATTTTCCTAACAACAAAATCTAATTATTTTCACAATATTTAAGTGTGCTAATGTCATTAGCTTAGTTTCATGCTAGCAATAAAATGTTAGTCAAGTGCAAACTGCGCAGTGCTTGACTTGCTGTCAGTGAAGCTCTGCCTGTGAAGAGCGAAATCAGTTACTTATAAGGTTCTAATTTAATTAACGCCGTCGACAACTGTTCATGCAGTCAGCTCACTAGGTTTTGAGACAAAGCCAATATCTTAGGTAAGAAAACACAGCACAGAAAACAGGGTTAATGCCAATGCATGTGGGAGTTTGATTGTTAATTAGACTAGAAGGCTCTGTCAGGTCTGACTGGAGAGCGCTGCCCTGCCATGGGTGGCTGGCTGAGCTGTCTGAAGTGGATAAGACATGTCTGAGACACATCTCACGCCTACTCCCTGATTTAGCAGACATCCACAGACCACCAGAACCGACCCACCAAAACCGAAACAATTGGTAGGCAACAATGCTGTCCCGTGAATCAGACGGCATGGATGCTTCAGGTCTAGATATACAAGAATGGCTGTAATACTATATATAATAAACATTTTCTCAACAGTATTGATTTTGTGATAATGACATTGGCTAGTTAGTTTAGTAGTTACCTTATGCCATATAACACTGAAAATAACAAGGCTGAATAGTCATTGCACACAAGATAATGGGATTATTTGTAAATTATAATAATAATTATTATAATTATTATTTTCTATTACAATATGCGATTTATTACAAAGCACACAGTCATACTACCAGAATTTCCTTTTGAAATTAAAATCTTTAAATTTATATTTTTATAATAATTTTTTATATATTGTTTCTGTTGAAATTATACTCTTTAACCTAAGAATTCTACATTTACTGTGATAGGGCTGAAATATTGTATGTGCATGTTAGGATTAGTAGCAATAAATAACCCAATACTCTCTGCAAAAATGTAACACAGTATTTAGGATTTTGGGGTAATAATTTAAGAACCAATTTGTTGTTCAAATTAATTAATGGAAAAAATGTATTCTCCTAAATAAGTTTCCTTAAGTTTTGTAACTTTTCGAAACAATCAGACTGTTGGTAATATTTGAGGGCACTGGTCCTGCCAGAGCGCTGCACTTCAGAGCTCACCTTCAGTAGGCTGTGTGTGTCGATGAACTGAGCACCTCTGTTTTGAGACGGCTGTTTTTAGCCTGATACTGAGACCGCACTGAAGGTCACAGCAAAATCATCCAACTGCACCTCAAATTACGATGACCTTCTTCCAAATACTGCCAAATTGCCTTCCCTACCCCTCTGGAGGCTGAAATACTCACTTCACATTCAGCTCTGGTTTTGATACAGATGCAGAGAGATGACTTATATTTATACTACCAGTCAAAAGTTTTTGAACAGTAAGATTTTTAATGTTTTTTAAAGAATTCTCTTCTGCTCACCAAGCCTGCATTTATTTGATCAGAAATACTGCAAAAGCAGTAATATTGTGAAATATATTTACTTTTTAAAATAACTGCTTTGTATTTGAATATATTTTGAAATGTAATTTATTCCTGTGATTTCAAAGCTGATTTTTCAGCATCATTACTCCAGTCTTCAGTGTCACATGATCAGAAATCATTCTAATATTCTGATTTGCTGCTAAAAAACCATTTATAATAATAATAATTATTATTATTATTAATATTTAAAACAGTTGAGTATTATTTTTTTTTCAGGATTATTTGATGAATAGAAAGATCCAAAGATCAGCATTTATCTGAAATAACAAGCTTTTGTAACATTATACACTATAACATTCAAAAGCTTGGAGTCAATATAATTATTTTTTGGAAATAAATCATATAAATTATTAATTTTATTTAGCAAGGATGCTTTAAATTGATCAAAAGTGATGATAAAGACATTTATAATGTTACAAAAGATTTCTATTTCAGACAAATGCTGTTCCCATCGATATCGGAATTATATCGTATCGACTGAAATTAA